CCAAGCATGTCACAGGTTTGTGGAGAACCATGCATGGATGAAATGAAGTTTTCTTTTTTTTTTTTTGTCTGTCTCCACAAACACCCATTCATTCCTATTCACATACAGCACATGCACCTTTCACCCTCACACACGTTTGTTCCCATCGAGGTACTGTCTGTACATGTGTACTCTCTGTACATGTGTACTCTCTGTACATGTGTACTGTCTGTACATGTGTACTGTCTGTACATTATGTCTTTTTACTTTGTTGTGTCCATTCATGTTCGTTTAGATACACTTATAGTCGTGCAGTGCGATGAAACAGATCTAAGTCATTTTAACTCCCTCCACCAAGCAGGTTATGGTTTCGTCTGGGTTGGATGTTTTACTACCTGAAGGATGTGGTACGGGTCGGGGAAAGAAGTCATGACATCAGGGGGCGGATACAGAAATACTCCATATTTCACTTCCTTTAACATTGGGAGATGGGGCGTTTTTGGACATTTTCCTTAATTCCTCAGAGAATAATTCATGAATCTAGATAAAAATAATCAGACATATTCAGGGGACTGATGCCTATTAGTGCGTGCGGCTTGACAGAGCTGAAGGGGCTATGGCGGGGGTATGTCCTCTATCAACTGATTCCACAACAGCACGTGTTCTGCAGGTGAACTGTAGGGACGGAGTGGAGAGTCTCGATATGATAGAGAAGAGGCAGGTTAGGCAGACTGATATTTAAGAGTACATACAATTCAGATCAATCCATTTCTTAAAATTATTGTTAAAACTGTTGTTTATTGTTGTGAAACTGAAGCGTTTCCTGTTTTTGCAGCCTATAATATAGTGTTAAGGTTATTCATCGGGACCAATACACAGATTAAAGAATAAAAATATGTTTGATCGGTTTTCACGAGCAAAATAAATCATTTAAGATACGAGTGTGCGCAATTTGGTGCGGAACCAAGTAAATTCTAGATTTTGGTCTGTGCTCGACTGAGTGTTATTCCAATTCCAGTTCAATCATTATCACTGATTTGAAATAAAACTATAGAAAAAAGAAAATCAAGTTGGTTTGAAATGAAATGCAAACAAACACAGATGTTTTTCAACTCCAATAAAAACGAATGCGACTCATGTAGCAGGGAATGTGACTTCCACCCCTGCCTGCTGATAATTCACTTACAATTAATGGAAGTATTAATTGGAGCAGGAGAGTGTGTCCGCTGTGAGCGATTAATTGTTATTGCCAACGTTATGTTTAATGGATGTGAAAGGCTGGTTTATGTCTGGTCAGTACTAAACAAATGTCTGTTCCAATGTCTGTTGCTGTCTGCTGCTTCATGAGATTTGTACAAGTTCACCCCCACCTCCTCCATTTTCTTTTTTTTTTTTTTACATTTTTGTCTTTAGGCGCGTCGGCCAGAGAAAAGGTTGATTGGACTCACGCCGGCCAACACGTTCTGCTGGAGAGCCAGTGTTTCATGTCCTGTAGGCCTCTCTTACCTTTGTGCTTTCTGAGCTACAGGAACACGCCGTCGGGAGCATGTTTTGTCCTCCACCTCTGCTTGTTTCACATTCCCTCTCTGTCGGAGGTTGTTATTTGTCGAATGGCAGACAGAGAGACTTTTATTCCACCTGACACACCTTGTGTACCACACCGACTCTCATCTGTCTCAGGCCCACTTTAATATCTACACTGCGCCTGTCTTGCTCTTAATAGCGGCAGCAGCACAAAGGTCTGTGTTCTGCAGCTGTCAGGAGATGCCGGACAAAGGAATGAATTGCCACAGTCTCAGATTTGTGGAAGACATGTTTCGATTATGTTGGAAGACATGTTTGACTCCAGTGTGAAGCTCTGGGACACAGTTTGGAGTTTACAGTTAGATTGTTAATGCCACAGCAAATATTCACCATTCCTGAAATGATTATTAATCTTTAAAACTATTTTAGGACATTATTAATTCAGTGAGCTCCTTAAAGTCCCTCAGAGAGGTCTGTAAATATAATGGTGACAGATTAGCACTGAATTAAAAGATTTGAACAAGATTATGATTAAATCAGCATCATATAAACATTCAAAATCACATGACAAAAAGTCTGGATTAGAAGATCAGTGGACTCAGACGCATGAATCAATATCACATCACCCTCAGGTTCAAAGAAAGGGCTGGTGTTATATGCGGAATGTAAAGTATATCACAGAGAGTATTAATATCTAATATGATCAATGTTACATTTTAAAAGGAAGGATCCCTGAAGGCATTTTCAGGAATTTCACAGTTCAGATTTGGAATTGAATGAACACTCATTTTTTAACCCCTGTTTTAATAGTTTTTTATTTAATTTGAAGTAAGAGTGGTTTAATGTAAATAGTCTTTAATCTATAAACATGTGATCTCTGTTTGCTTTGCACTGATGCAACCGGATGAAACCTTTTTACTTTTATTCTTTGAGTACATTTGAGAACCTGCACATTTATAAATTCACTTGAATAAAGAGGTTGAGCAAGTTCCAGTAAAATATGGTAACATTCTTCTCATTCCTCACACGCTGGGGAATTCTCAAAGTGAAGCAACCTTTTAACCTGACCTCCACAGCGCCCCCTTCATTCTGACAGTTACATTGCACTTTACCAGGAGCTACATGTGATGATGAATCATTAGTTTGATTCCAGATGTTTAGGTTTCACCATCACTGGTCCGTCTGTGGCCCACTTCTGAGGGAACATGTTTTTGAAGTGATATGTTGAATGTGTCTCAGCTCCATATAAAGCAGGCGGGGGGGGGGGGGGGGGAGAAGGAGGGAGAAGGGGGTGAGAAATGGACAAGGACAGGGGAGAGGACGATGATGAAACACAGACAGACGGGGGCAACGGCCTCGACCAGGAGGAAAGAGGTAGCGTGGCGCCTGCTGAGGTGAATCTGTCCGCCGCGCTGGTGCCTGGCTTTGTTTGGCCAGGAGATTACTGATTGCCTCAGTGGCTGTTAAGTAACACGCATGCTCCGGAAAACACGGATCTATAAACTCTCTCTCTTCTGGGCGGTTTTCACTCGTTTTTTACTTTAGCCATTCAGATTCGTCCTGAGCTGTTTCTCTCTCTCCAACAATGATGAGTGTTTGTCACATGTGCTCCGGCTTCCTCTTGCACACAGAAACAAAAACATGTGATGTTATTAAGTTGTATTTCTTGTCGCTGAGGTTGTGGTCACCCAAAGCAAGCGCACGGGCCTCCGGGGTTATCAGAGGTCGAGTCAGACTGACGGAGGCGACGTGAGACGCGTTGTTTCACTAATTGAGTCCACACATGCAGGCGATTTGTAAAGACTTTGAAGGTGTAATGAGAATTAGAAAACGCCCCCTTGATTTTATCAATGAGCCCGGCCCACCGTTTATCAGTTTGTCCCTTTATTTGGCCTTTTTCCTATTTCATCTCCGCCACTATTGATTTCTGAGTTTATTCACAGCCCCGATGTTGTTGTGGAATAGTTTTCTCATGCTGACAGGTTAATTAATCTTAAGGTGTTTATCGCCGCTACAGCGATAAGGGGGGAAAAAAATATATTCATACAGATTTAGAGTTGTGTTTTTTTTCCTCTGCAATTATTTACAATCAGGGCCATTATCATTGTGTCACTGTCATTAAATACACACTGTTTTGATTTCGCACATTTTCAAACATTTATGAGTCACAGTATCAACAGCTGTGTGCCCGGAAATTAGCGATTATGTTTTAATGAAACTCATGTAGCTGCTCTTTAGTTTTTTGGGTTCTACTTTATGTAAGAATGATGAATGAAGTAGACAGTGTGAAAACTATAGAATATGTATAATATATACAGCATGAAAAATGAATAGCTTGTGTTATATACATTAAAGGTACAGTGTGTAGAATCTTGTGATATCTGGTGTTGAAATTGCATGTTGCAGCTGAACACCCCTCACCTCACCCTCTCCTTCCACACATGAGAAAGAACCCATGTTAGCCTTCAGTTGTCATAAAAACTCAATAGGTGTTTAGTTTGTCCTCTCTAGTCTACTATAAAGAGAGCCCCCTCGATGTACATATGAAGTATTTAAATATAAAGGGTCTTTTCTGGGGTAAAGAAAACTACAATTCATCCAATTTAGATGAAATGAACTGGTGAAAAACATCATGAGGATTATTCTACATTAAATTTCTGCCAATAGTTCCCTTTCAGCTGAATCTTACACACTGAACCTTTAAGTCATGATATACAATCCTGTATTTTTGCTGCAGCGTAAAAACACCTGAAGCAATGTTTCTTTTTGCTGTTCAGACGTAATAAACCTCATCAGAAGACATTAAATCCATCTTTATCGAATTCATATTGAAGCACCTTGACTCTCAAATGAACGTTTTTAATCCTGGCTACTATTCCACTGCTCTCAAAGGGATTTAATTTGGTTCCACTGCAGGTTCCATGTGTATTATGCAAAAACCGAATGTGTTGAAAATGAGAGGCTAATTGTTCCATTTGAGAGGTTGTAATTACATCCTTTAGAATGAGCAAAGGATCGAGAGTGTCTCCTTCTCCGCAGCGAAGGATTTCCAGCGTGGTGCCACTCAGTCGGCCGTGCAGCACACTGACCCGTACAGTCTCTGCCTTTTCAGTGGGAATTTCCAGCTCTCGCTGCCCGTTTGCTCTGGGAAAAGTCACAAGTATTTAATAAGCACTAGAATACAGGATCATAATGTAAAAAAATCATGGTCTCCAGCAGCAGCAGCAGCGGGTTGCTCATGAGTGGAATTGTGTGCTCTATCTGAGGAAAGTAATTTATTATTAAAGTTCATGGCTGATTTTTCGAGCACACTCTAAAATAGATGGGGGCATTTCAGAAGAAGAGTTGCAGAAGTACGAGGAGGTGAAATTAGGAGGTCAGAACTTCCCCAGCAGAGTGAGGTAACTGCTGCCAGGAATGGGACGGGCCTGCAGCAGCGATGAGGCAACACAGAGACAAAGTGCATATAAATACAAGTGCACTCTGCAAACCCGACCATCAAGCTGTGCACACGCTGACAGGGGGTCACCACAACATCTGAAGAAACCCACATTCCTAGAGAACCAGCATCCATCACAGGAGCCGAAGAATACAAGACGCTGTGGTGCTCGTCTGTGGCCTGACACCCATGAGACAGAAGACCTGCAAACTCTAATTTTGATTTCCTAACAAACATCATCTAAACCTCAAAATGAAGGCATTCAGCATTGCAGTTGCAGTGACACTCGTGCTCGCCTTTGTTTGCATTCAGGACAGCTCTGCCGTCCCATTCCAGGGGGTAAGAACGCAACTTTAACTCGCTTCATTTGCTTATTAGCCATAAATGTTTTGTCAGGATGCTGAGACACGGCTCCTAAATGTGTATAATTCATTAACAGGTGCAGGAGCTGGAGGAGGCAGGGGGCAATGACACTCCAGTTGCGGCACATCAAATGATGTCAATGGAATCGTGGATGGTATGTTCAATCTGTTCAATCGACTGGATGAATTAAGCCAATTACTGTGAGCGCGTTAACATTTAAGTGGCTGTGTTCCAGCCCGGTGCTGTAGGGAATAAAACCCCTCGTTCATGTGTCTTGTCGTCCACAGGAGAGTCCCGTCAGGCAGAAGCGTCACATCAGCCACATCTCCATGTGCCGCTGGTGCTGCAACTGCTGCAAGGCCAAAGGCTGTGGCCCCTGCTGCAAGTTCTGAGGATTCCCGCAACAACCTCAAAATATATTAATTTATTACACTTGTTTGTCAAGAAATGACCTTTTTCTTGACCTCTTTTGTAATTTTGTATAATCTGTAAAAAAAAGGGTATGATTCATGGAAAAGCACTTTGAATAAATGCTAAAAAAAAAAAAGTTCTGTTCTGTGTATTTATCGTGCACGTTTGTAATACTGTCACTCTGAAACTTTTCTTATCTAAATGAAATCTCTAATAAATGAGGAAAATAATGAGCATCTGAAGCAAATACATGTCTTTGTTGTGATGAAAAGGGAAAAGGATTTGAGTGGGCGACAGGTTTATCACAATCACCTGGAGGACATACGCTGAATCTTCTGCCTTCTGTGTGTGTCATTAATCACAAGATATTAAAGGTCCATTGTGTACGATTAGGTGAAAGGATCTATTGGCAGAAAATAATCCGACTGGTGTTCTCACTAGTGTGAAATCACTTCACTAATAGCAAGTGTGCAAATTGTAGTTTTCTTTACCCTTGAATGGGCCCTTTTATATTTAAATACTTTATATTTACATCAGGAGCGGCTCCTCTCTAATCAGGCCGCCATGTTTTTTAACAGAAGCCCAGACCTGACAAACTAAACACCAACTGAAGCTACCACAGGTTCTCTTTCCTGTTTGGAAGGGGAGGGTGAGGTGAGGGGTATTCAGCTGCAACATGCAACTCCACCACTAGATGTCACTAAATTCTACACACTGAACCTTTAAGCCATAAAAGGAAATCTAACCACTTTGGTTTTGACAATATACAAACACTACATTATCTTTACCTCTGCAGTATCGTTATTTATCAATTATTATTATTGTAATTTATATAATATAATATTATCATTTATTTATTTATCAATTGCTGTGTAATTACTTCATCTGCAGTGGTGGTGAAGACAACAACTCCCATGATCCCACGCTGCCTTTCGACAACTCTGTCTTTTTGAGAGACCCCTGGTGGTCAATGTCTCATGTTGTGCATTTAATCACAATGAGGGGAAAAGTAGAATAAACCTTTTACTTTTTCCATATTTGACATTTTTGGCTTGTTTGCACGTTAGCGTTTTGTCGTGAGTACATTCTTCCTAGAAGATTTATTTCTTCTTTGTGAAACTCCTTCAGAGCATTGGAAGTGACACATTTCCTGTTAAATAGAAGAAGTGTCAGCAGAAGTGATTTTCCAGTCTGGGCAGGAGGAATCTTTCCGGCTGGTGTGTTGCAGAAAAACATGTAGGTTCCTTGTGATGACTGAACATAAATGAAATGAATGTGGGGGAAGAGCTCAGTGTGAAGTCTTGTTGGGTATTTGGTGTTTTAACCGTGTGAGCTGTGAGAGCAGAGACGTTCCTCTGGTAACTGTGGGAAACATTCAGAGGAAATGTGCAGAGAACTTCAGATCAGCGACATGATGCCAACACTATGACAGTGTGCCCCCTGCTTGTTCAGCCTGTTATTGCAACTGTGGGAAAAATGAATCAAAAAATGTCTCAAAGATGTCGTCTTCATTATTCCACCTCAGTGAGCGTGATATCTAACTATTGAACCCTGGCACAACACATTACATTACAAGCCAGGCCAGAGAAATGAATTTATGTCTCAAAATAAAACTAAAAGAAAGAGTGTGTCTGTGTGTGTGTGTGTGTGTGTGTGTGTGTGTGTGTGTGTGTGTGTGTGTGTGTGAAGACACTATAAAGCAGTGGCAGCCATAACAACTGCACACAAAAGGGATGAGCATTTTCAAATCTGAAACCTTCTCCCTTATACCTATTTTAATTCATCAAAAACGCTGCAGTGGACTGGATAGCCTTAAATACTAATCTTGAATTAAAACCACATTTATAAACTCTAAATACATCAAATAAACAATTCGATTCCA